GTTGAACTGGCCCCCTTCGTCCCCCGGGAAGAAGAGTTTCTTCCTTGGCTGTAGGTGATGGCGCGTCCAGGTTTGATGGTTTGGGTCATGCTCCCAGTAGTCATTCTTTCGATGAATCTGCGCAGAGCATGCGCTTGCGCGCTGCGGGTCAAACACACGCGCAAATGGATGTGCACCGATGGGTAGTTTGACACCGTTCTTCTCAACGTGCATGCACCCGAAGTACCTGTCATAGGGCTCTGGCTCGCCCAGATCGACAACCGAGCGAATGCCGGCCCAGCCCTTGGCCAAGTTCTTCTTGGGCCCCGCCATCTTGAAATCGTCGGCGTAGACCACCAGGATGAGGTCCAACTCATCGTGCCTGAAGATCGATTGCCACATCTCGGCGCCATCCCTTTTTGGCTAGATTAGCATTTTAATGCTGTTCCCAAATACCCCCACTGTCGGGGTGTCCGTACAATGCTAAAACCATTGGGACCATGGGTTTCCAATATTTCTCTTCCCAATCTTTCGGCCACCTGTTGCGAGGTAGTTCAAGCCATGTTGGGATTCCATTGAAAGTTGCTTGGACATATGCTTGAATTGCATCTGCTTGCTCTTTCCCATACCCTGGTTGGCATCCGAAGGCATCCAATATCTTGGCGGCCTCCATTGAGGCAGGGCTTGAGCCGAGCTCAGCGAACAGTGCGTGGTCTGAGTTCTCGTCCCGGACGTTGTTGCCCTGAAATACCATTCTTCCTTTAAACTTTCTTCTGGGATCGTTCTCTGGTAGTTCTGAGCCTTTCTCATAGCAGGCTTCGAATATCCTACCCAGATGAACCTTTTCTCCCTTTCTTCGGGCTTCCTGAATGATCTTGTGGAGTTCACGGACGAGCTTTTCATCCCAGACACCTTTCGTTCTGAGCTTGTTCCATTCAAGGTCAAGCGCCTCTCTTGCCTTGGGGGTTCTAGCGACTTCCTCTTTGGAAACGAGCCTTGCCACTGCTGCCCACATTTCGATATCTTGTTTGAACTCAAGACGCTTGATGTGTTGTTCAACCATCTGCCGGATGGGCTGACGATGAGATTCATTGACAGCCCCCCTGGTTCTAGGCATGCAGGGCACTGCGAACGACTCGTTTGTCAGTAGTTTCTTTCTTGCTGGGAGCACTTCCCATTGGCTACCAGGTGACTGGAGCGTCGAGGCGGCTTTCGATGAGGAACTGGTGACTCCTTCACTCTTTTTCTGTTCTTCCTCTCGAATTGCTTTCTCCCTTTGTCTCGGACCCATCATTTTCCAGAGTTCTGAGGGAATGCTTCGTGGCCGCTTCGAACCTTTGTAGGTTTTCACAAGCCTAACTCCATCATAATGGTAACCGTCCGGCACGATCGACCCGTCGGGCAAAATCTCCCCAGGTTCAAGTGGCTCTGCGCTGGACTTCTTCATCTCGACGTCAACAGGCGGCTCTGTCTCCTGAGCAGGTGGCTCAATGGGCTCTGGTGCAACGGATGGTGTGTACTCCAAATCGGATTGTTGTGGAATGATCGGATTGGGTACCGGCGGGATCACGCGATCAGCAATCGGCTCTGGAGGTGGCTCAAGGCTGTCGGCTTTGGCTTTCAGCGGAAACACATGGGTTTCAGAGGGCAACTCCAATCGCTTGGTGCGTCGAATGACAACGCTGCCATGTTCCAAATGGTAGTCGATGGCTTCAAGCTTCGTGACAAGATACTCCCCTCTCCACACAAAACCAGGCTGAATATGATATCCTAGAAATACCCCTTCATTTGAGGTTGGCGAAAGCTTGCCTGCGGTGTTGTCTGCCCTGTCTGGGTTGTTCCAAAACAACACTTTGGCTCCGAAGGGTATGGCATCCCATCGAACTCCGCCCCGAACCTCAGTGACCATGGACTGTCCCCCCCTGACAACTGCGGGTTGGCATTGACAGCAATGGCAAAATGCTGCATTGCCATCGGCCACACGCACAAAGGCATTCCTGCTTGAACGAGGTTGGATCGAGCCCCTTCCAGCATTTGGCGTATCTCGCGCTCCACGAAGGATTTGCTGGAGTCCACGTACTCTATTGATGTTTGATGCCTATAACAAAGTTCCTTGATAGCGGCTTTCAATTCCCGACTATTATCCGTGTAGATCACGTGATCAGGTCCTGCTCGCTTCCAGAGTCGATGAGCCATTGATGGCGACCTTTTGGCGCGGGCGCGGCAACGGTTGGTGGCATCAACACGGCGTGGATCTTGCATGGTGCTAGCAGGTTCCTACAGCACTTGCAAGTCAGACTTTCGAGGTCATCTACTGCCAATTGAAACCACATGATGGTTGAACCGAATTTCCGAACTGCTTCACCGTCTCTTGCAGCTTTCTTGCTGCTGTTTTGGCATTCAACACATGGATTGGGTCCAATTTCTTTGCTGCTTCAGCAGTTGTGAGGACTTCGTCATACTTTCTAGGACCATGAATGACTGGATTGCATCGGCCATGAGCGTTGATTTTCTTCACCCCTACCCTTTTATCGAAGGTAACGCGTTTCTCATTCTGTGCTGCCGTTTCTTTTCTTGGGCTACGATCCGAACAGTAGCGCTGCGTGCGTAGCTTGATCGAACGCAGGGAGTAGCCGACTTTTTCGGCTTCGGCTCCTTCTTGGGCTTCGGAGAGTTTGGCCGAGCTGGATCCTTCGGAGCGGCTGCACTCTTCTTTTCATGCAGGTACAAACACTTATCCCCACGGCGGCAATCTCCACGTGCAAAATAGACGCATGGAGTCTTTGCCGTCTCCTCTTTGTTGAGCTTTTTCTTTGGGTCACGACTGGACGTTCGGGGTGTCCTCTGCCTAGAGGGCGACCTGTCCTTCTTGTCATGACGATACGGGCACTCCTTTCCCTTTCACGAAGTCTCTGCGCGGGATCTTCTTTCTGTCAGGAGTTCTTCCCCTTGGGGGTGTTTTCTCCCTCTTGGCTGGGGGCACCACGGGTAGTCCGGCCCTGTCTTTGGGGTTGTTCGGCTTCCGTTGATTCTTATCGACGATGCGATCACGATTCTCCCTAAGCCTTTCACGATCGATCAGGTCTCGAATGGCTTTCGCAAGGAACGAATACGTCTTGCTTGGATCACCCTCCTTTGCCCGATCATAGGTGTCAATGTCATACTTGAGTAGCGTGCTAGGACGGATCTGACGGAGCAAAACATCACGAAGGACTGTTTCTTCAGGCTCCTTCTTCATACCGGCTAACACTGCGTCCCAACGATTGATGAATTTCTTGAGGTCTGCGATGGTATCCCCGAACTTCGCTACCTTCAAAAGGTCTTCTAGTGAGTAGAGAGTACCAGCTTCCTCGGATGTTTTGAAGTAGTCATCAAACATAAGAAGTACTGTTCGACCTCTGGTCTGATGTCCCTTCTTTGCTTGCTCCTCCTTGTGATTAAGGATTCTATTTCCCAGGTCACCACGGGCTGACTTTGTGAGAGCAGCGGTGAGCTTCGTGTCCAAGGTCACGAACTTGCCTGGATTCTGGAGCTTTGCCTCGAGTTCAACACGAGAGAGCTTTGGATCCCAAACTTCCATAATCCACTCCCATGCTTCGTCGGGCTTGTCGGACGACGATCGAACGAGCTCACGAACCAGATTCTTCCACTGACGGTAAGTCTCGGGCGTGGGCATGTCCGGAATGGCAATCGTATCGGCTTCCTTGACCCTTGGTTTGCCTTCATCGTCTTTCTTGGACTTCATTTCTCTAAGTAATTCTGCAAGACCACTCATCAGTGCGTTGGTTTCACCCGAAGAAGTGGGGACTTTGCCATCGACTCCTCCGTCGCCAGCGTGGGACATTCGTTCATCGGCAGTTTCACGTGCATCGACGAAATGCTCATCCTTACCGTGGGCAGGCTCCAACGCTGCGGGATGTGGCAATGCTGCAGGTGCTCGTGATGGGTAGAAGTCACCGAGTTTCTGAGCGAACCTTGCATCTAGCCTCGCCTTCCAATCAATCTCTGTTGGTTGGGGCAGGGCCTCACGGCCTGCTGGCTCGGATATCACTGGGGTAGCCGACCCTGGCAGGTGATGCGGTGCTTCAGCCTCGTGCGCTGGAATCAACCCATCAAGCTGATCTTGGAGGAGTGCGTTGGTCTCTGATGCCTTTCGCAGTTCCTGTTCAAGATACTCTTTCCTTTCAGTCCACTCGGTCTCCATGATATGGCGCTGCCGCGCTGCCTACGTTCTTCTTCAAGGAGTGCTCTAGCTTTGTTAGAGGCATCCTCCACCATCTTGTCAAACATCTTTTCCAGCTCACTCATCTTGTCGTTCATCTTCTGCAAGTGAAGCTTCTCTGCTTCTGCCTTCTGCTCCGACATCCTCTTTTGATGTAGGCTGTCTGCGCTGGCAACTTTGGCCTGACTCTCAGCCAGCTGCCCTTCCAACAAGTTGATCCGACCCTGCATGGCCAGGACTTGCTTGTCGCAAACTTCCCTCATCTGATCGATGGCAACTCTACATTGCGAACCTAAGGCTTGAATAGTAGAGTGCATGATCTCTCGATGCCTCTGTTCCGCCTCATAGCGGACAGCTTCTTCGTTTCCCGAAGCGATCTGATGAACATTGTTCTGAATAAGCTGAAAGTATGCTGTGACGCCTTCAGACCCCATAACGACATCCTCGGACACGAGGTTGCCCCCGGCGGCCGGTACGGTATCGCCAGAGTATGGGATGAGGGCTAGCGCGGCATTCACACCATCATCTGTAGCCATGGCAGAGGCTACGGCTGATAACCTGTATTTTCAGGCTCAACCACTAAAATACAGTCAAATTCCGCTAAGCTGCAACTGCTAGCGCTCCTTTTTGTCGCGATGAGCTGCGTGCTTGAGCCAAGAATTGGCATGGTGCGTAAAAGCATAGCATTAGGTGATGTATTTCAACATACGCAACTAACTATGTTGCAAAAAGCCCGAGCAACCGAAGATGAAGTCAGCACCCAATCAGCACGCACAAAACATATGTTTGAGCACGGCACTCCAGCTGTACCATCGCGGGCAAAATGGCCAAGAGGACAGGTGTCTTCACAAAAGCCATAAGGTGTCAAGTAGAGACCTCCAAATCTTTCTGGATCTGCCAATGACAAGCTACAGTCACAAATTAAGTGTCAGGCCATCCTTGCATTCTGAACATGTGGAAGCACTAGTGCATTGCGAGCACTGTTCTGGGCAGGTTTCACATTCACCACCTCGGGCACTTGAGCTGTTCGCACGATGAACAAATCAACTCCCTGAGTTCAGCACCTACTTCTCTGTCCCGGTTTGGATAGAAGCCAATGGGGCAGCTCTGCTCACAGGCGTTCAAGCTTGTGAGGTATGTGGACTTTTTGCCTTGGACAAAACGTAAAGCCTTGCAGGGAAATTTACATTAAGCACAGGTCATATGAATAGCTTTCACGCAACCTATATAGTGTTCCCTGAGTAGGTGATTGCAAACCTTTCCAGGTAGCTCGAGGCCTTCTGTGCCGAAAGGTGAAGCCAGTGTGGGTTTGAACTAGCGACCCAACAAATGTAGGACGAGAGGTGTCTCATCTTTCATCATCTTTCCATATGTTTGTGTCAGAATCATTTCTCCAAATTCTGTGGGACCATTTGCTTGTCAAGCTTCACTCTGTGCAATAGTTTTCAGCCTTGCATTTGTTGCAAGTGCCTGGACAGGCCTGGAGGGGCCGATGATCGGCGACCAAATGAGACAGAATGACAAGGCCGACTGGCCTTGCACACGCGGCCAAAGTGACCGGCACCTTCTTCGTAATAACCTTGCCAAGGGTGGAAAGACCTAGATTTATTAAATTTAGACCAAATGCAATGCCTGGCAGCCTGGCATGGTGTGGCACACAAAGTGGAAGACTTGTGGGCTCCAACCCAAACATCTCACAGCATGGTGAATCCGGTCTGAGATTGCAACCATCTTGGCATTGGACTTCGCACCAACTGTAGTGAGTCAAGTAGGTGGAATTGCGGCATTCCTCCGGCATCGACAAGCATGCTTATTTCTTGCAGCGTCTCGACGAAAACTCGTCCTGGCAAACAGTTGGGCTTGTGCACAAGCTGCAGTTTTCCGCACCTCACCGGGACCAAGTAAGAAACATGTTTCATAAAAAGACTCCGAGTTCCTTGAGAAAGTTCCCAGCAGAACCGTTGCCGAAACACAAACCAACTTATGAGGCCGGTATCACCCAAACAGCATGCTACAAGGGAGGCATGTCGTACAGACCTTCTGCCATTTTGCGCGAAGGCAGTCACTTCGTCACAATTTGCTTGTGTTTTGTCGAGGAATCCTGTCTCTAATTTAGCTCAACATAGGCTCGGCAGGCTGCTACCTGCTATGTAGCATTTTGAGAAGTTACTGAACTTTTGCCCAGCGAAAATCCAGTGCTGGGGCTGGGGCCAATGTGAAAGTCGCTATGATTTGTGCAAGTATGGACATAAAGGTTAACAGTTAATTGATACGAGTATTAACAGCATCTCTAACACCGCGAACCCCGTAGGCATCGCATGTCTTTCGTGCCCCACATCCTCCCTGGCCCGCTCTGATTTGGAGGTTCCATGATTCTCCTGCTAAACCCAAAAAAGTTTTATTCTCCACTTTCCAGACCCGTTTAGCTGGTCAGTGTTTGCCGGATTTGGAATCTGGTTTGCCGGTCTTTCCTGACTGGAGTCCAACTTTGGCAGCTTTTTGCAGCGCTTTGGGTGCACTTCCAGCTCCGTGTGGATTAAGCTTTGTTTCTATTTTTCGCAGCATTGATCGCTGTTTGACAGTGTCAAAAGATAAGGGACCTCAATGCCTCAATTAGCGGCAACGCTTGAAAAGGACGGTTCTCCAAATCCTCTTCGCGCTCTACAATTTAATTGAGCCAACCTTCCAACAATTGGCTGGCCTTTGCTTGAAACAAATAACATGAACACAAATTAGTTTCCCAAATCAAATCGCAGGCTAGAACACACTGTCTGAACAGTTTGCCTGTAAAGCGGCTCATTCTCCTGTCTAAGACTATTTGGAGGTTTTAAGGTGACAAGGGGACCAAACGAGCACAGGCACCAGGTCAGGAGAAGAACCAAAGGACTATCCACAGCTCCACAGCATCTTGTTTGAGCTGCAGCTCTACTTGGTCAACGCTGAGTCGACGCTGTAATTTTATTTTTAAAGTGCTGTTCTTTCTTTGATGCCATTGCGTGTTGTTTCCTTGATCGCAACTCAGCACCAAACATAACGGGCACGAGTTGCCCACACCACCTGACACTGGCAATTGCCAGTATCCATCGGGGCAAATATCCTGACCTTGGAGGATTGGCAGCATTTTAAACTTATATAATGAGCCCGAATCGACATTACAAGCCTGTGATGCCAACCCGGATTTCCACAACGTGTTCAAACTAAAGATCTCCAACGGTCAAGAAACTGCAAAATCATATGTGGTATGTGAGGATTCAATACTCCTCCCTCCACATCAAATTGATTTAGGCAGCTGGCAAGTTCCGTCTGGATTTAAGAACTTGTTATTCTTGCAGGTGGTACCTCAAATCGCATCAACTTGCAAGCACACTCAAAAAACTGGCAATACTTGGGGCCGGGCATACTTCATATGTGTCACAAGTCGCACAGTTCCCAGAGCAAGGCTGGCATGTTACACCGATCTCCCCTACTCCTTGTGGGTAGAAGCCGGGTGGGCAAGTATACTCCTTGGCGTTGCGTCAAGTCGATGACTCGATGGGTTTGATTGCTCTCAGTTGTTGAAGCTAACGCAGCTAAGGTTAGCTCGCAGGTGTCAAAAGGGGTGAGGTATGAAGAGTCCTTGCACTCTGTGCAATGCTGGTCCGAATCGCACTTGTTGCAAGGCCATGAGCAAAGCTCACATGTGCCTCGGCCATGATCCAAGAGCTGGCGATCAACCATCAAACAAAATGAAGAATGTGCCACACAGACTAGTATCAAACAATTTGTTCAAATCTGAATGCGAGTGATACTGATGCCGAGATACGACCAATGTCCACGGTTCGATCCAAAATCTTCTCCCAGTAGCCATCAGGACCTCCCACGAAGCGTATGTAGCAAAAAAAGTGAACACAAATCGACCTGAGGGCTGTACACCGTCTGTCTTCGGTCTCTTTTGAGTCATCTGTGATCAAATATGTTTGGGATCCACTTGTAAGACCCACACACTCTTTCTTGCACGTTCCACTTGTGATGTCGAGGAAGTATCCACTATGGCAAACCTCGCACCTCGCATGGGCCAGCCGAAACCGGTTGCACGGCTCACCACAAAGTCCATTTCTTTTGACTCCAACTGACTTGCAAGAATGGTTGGCTCTGCACACGTCCATGCTACTACATTCAGCGCAATTGTCGGAGCACCGCCTCAGGTCCAAACACAAAAAATTGTGTTTGCCCAATTGCAGTGCAGCAACAGCACGCAGTCGGACAAAAGAACATGCGATTTGGAGCGTTGCCAAGGGGATCTTGTTTAGGATTCACATAGGTAGGGCACACACTTTCGAGGGCTGACTTCCTTTCACGGCATGTCACCAATCAAGATTCGCGTGGCCGAGCAGCTCGCAGGAACCACCAACTTCTTCCGTGCCACGTTCCCAATACCCAGCCGGGCATTCATAGTTGCACTTAGAGTCTGGTGTCAAATACCTGTCAACTGCCAAGAGAAGAAGAAGAAAAAAAAAAGAAAAAAAACAAGAACAAAAACAAGAACAAGAACAACAACAACAACAACCAACCACCAACCAACCAACCAACCAACCAACCAATCAACCAACCAACGAACCAACCAATCAACCAACCAACCAACCAAACAACCAAACAACCAAACAACAAAACAACCAAACAAACAAAAAAACAACAAAAAACCACCACCACCACCACCACCACAACAACAACAACAACATGTCACGATGCACTTGTGCATTTTTCTCCGCGCACGTGAAGTTCTTGCATTCCGTGCAAACATCTGCCTCAGCTCGACCCTCTCTAGCCCTATTCAATTCAATGCCCGCACAAAATAATGGACTGGTTCTGACTGAGCTGCGGAGTCACATTTGCTACAAGTGTGGAAGCAGCGAGGGCACGTGTTTCTGGTTTCATTGTATCCTTGCTTGTAGAAGCCATCTGGACCTCAGCATTCAAAACATGCTGCATCAGGCTTTATAAGAATCGTGGTCGGTAGGGCTGCGACAATCTGCCCTGCAAGTGCTGTCTGGATTCAGATAGCGAAACGCGTGGCACTCAAGGCATACTTCTGGCCCTGCGCAAGATGGAAAGGCTCTTGCAAGAATTAACTGACCACTCTTGTCACCATAAGTCGAGAAAAAATAGCTTGTAGGAAGGTAGGAAGGAAGGACGGAGGGAGGAAAGGAGGGAGGAAAAGGGAGGGACAGGAGAGGAAAGGAGAGGAAAGGAAGTAATGAAAGGATGGAAGGACGGAGTGAAGCAGGGAAGAAGGAAAGAAGGAGGAAGGGAGGAAGGGGAAGTGAAGGAAAAGACGCTCAAACCCAAGACCCAAGGTGAGCGTAGTGGGATAGCAGTCAGGCCTATGGCACAAAGCTCCCCGTCCCGTCTGTGAGCTCGGTGCCCGAGGATGTGCTTGGAGTGTTTGCCACGGATTTGTGCGAAAAGGTCCTAGTAGCCTCCTTCTTTGCTACTAATTTAAATTCTAATCCAATATTGTTTCTACTAGCTTCTTGTTACTACTAGTAAGGCACTTGTTGCTAGAAGCGATGCACTTGTTCCTAGTAGCTTCTTGTTCCTAGTAGCTCTCAGGTGAAGGCTCCTTCGTGCATTGGACGCTCTGTGGCTGCGGGCCAATATTGTTTGTATGTGGCCAGTCTTTCTTTCAAGGTGGCATATGAACATGCTGTTTTCGGGTGTTTGCTGGCTTCTGTCTGGGTGTCCTTTTCTCTGCCGATAATGGCCATGGCAGTTGATTGCCTTGCTTGCTTCAATGTTTTGCTGGTCTTCAAGGCCAATTTGCTGAGTGTGCTAGTCTTGCAATTTAGTTTCAATATCGTACCGCTGCAGTTAGCAGGGGGAGCCTTGAGAGTCCACGCTACGGGGTGCATGGGGATGAGGTGAATTTCAACACCCCCCTTTACAAGGAGCTACCCGCAGGGAAAATCTTTGGGAGGAATAAATTCTAGCGACGAAGGAATAATATTAGAAATCCCTCATCAAGCTCGTTCGTGCGCTATACAAGGACAACATAGCTACCCTAATGTACAACCTACCGGCTCACTCGGCGCGTCGTTACACATGCTTGTCCCAGTTCTGACTAGAGCATTGATTAAAGGTTCACTCTCCGCCTAAAGCAATCCGGATAAGGATGCTGTCCTACGTGAGACAATGTGCTGAAACATCATCTTACTCACGGTCAGAAGATGAACAGTATCTCAACTCGTAAGCTGTAGGGCTTACCATTTATGGTAGCTGTCCAAAAGTTGCATCACCAATAATGCATATACCCAAATCGCCCAGTATAACCCCACCAACCGTCTTCCATCCATTCACGAAGTTCCATATGATTGGGCCAATAGTTGTCAGCCCATGCATCATCCCGTTGCCATTGTACACCAGGAAAATCAAAAGGCTCCAACGGCGAAGCATCCGAAGGTTGTGAGCTCTTTGGTGTATGTTGCCAAGCACCCTGAGTATATGACTGCCCAGTTACGGGAGTGTGCGTAGCTTGGCGGCAACCGTGGAACAGGCATGTGTTCATAATGCCACGGCCTTGCATCGTATGGGCCTTCACGGGATCGACCCTTGGGCTTGCCCTGTCCCTTTCCCTTTACGGAAGGCGGTAACCTGTCAAATAGGTCTCGAAGCGGCGGTGGCTCGGGAGTCAATTTAAAATCTGGTGGCCTGGACTTTGCCGGAAGACCTTCGGAAGAAGTAGGTTGCTCTTCTGGCGGCGGTCTTCTGGGCGGCGGCGATAGTCCCGGCGTGGGTGGACGATTTGGTGGTGGTGATGGAGGTTGCGGCGGCCTTGTTACAGGCGCTTCTGGTGATGGTGCATCACGCTGGCCAAACTCCAAAAGAAGACGTTCCAAGCGAATGATCTCATCACCCGTAATGTCTTGACCATAATCCGCGTATTTTGGTAAAGAAGCCGCCATTCTTTGTTCCCACGACCTTTCTCCTGCGCGCGCACCGACTGCTGAGCGTTGTGCTGGTATATTGAGCTATAGCAAATTGCTCATTCTGTAGCTCAAACTCTCGGAGAATCTTGTATACGCCCATCGTGTCTCCACGAGGAATTGTGATATTGTGGATATCGCCATAGACATCATCTGTAGGAATAAATCCCTGGATCTTGACCTCGTCGCGGCCATTGCCAATTACGGCAGCATAATGACGAAGTGAAAGAAACTCTCGGCGATAGCTCGCGAGAAAATTCTCGCTAAGGCCTGGCTTGAAACATGTGTGCAAATTGTCAACTTCACATCGAATAAAAGCCAACTTTGCAAGGTCAACACGGTCTTCACGATCCAATTCGCTCACAACAGATTTTCCTTTGGATCTCTGCTTTGCTGACCGAGAGGCGGCCGGCAATTGCAGTGACGCAAAGAGATCTTCTTGAGCTGCATCGAAAGCTGTGCAACCCTCTCCGGTTACGGAGGTAGCAAAAGCATCATCGCGGTTGAACCGATCGTAAACATTCTCGTACCCCAATTTGAGAGCGCGACGAAGACGATTGCGGGCAACCAAGGGATCCCGCGTGGTGGAGGACGTCCGGGTTGAAGATCTTGTCCGGCAATGCTGTCAAGCATGCTAGTAGAGGTGATGTTGCTGGGCACACCCCCTGCTGTTGCGCTGTCCAACCGTCTGTTGAACCACCTTGAAATACTGCGCCACATCTATAGCATGATGCAGGAAAGCGTCGTGCACTCATTGCGGCTGAAGGTGCGGAGATGTAGAAAATGTCCGCTCTCGATAGGACCAACTACTGTACGGCCTGGCGCCTCCATCTCCTCCTTCTTGATTGAGCTGCTCTGAACTGTACGCTCCTCAGGAGCCTCCTCATTTGTCCCAGTAGCATCGGTCTGATCGGCGATGTCACCGGGGATGAGGTCGACTTCCTCCTGCTTGACGCCCGGCTCAATCTTTGCAGGATCGATTGCCTGGGGTTTAAAACACTTCGGGCTCCGCATTTACGCGGGCTTTGTTTGCGAATAGAATACACGTATTGGGCACATGATGGCTGGTGATCACCGCCTTTTGAATTTGTCAAAAATAGATCAACACCGGCCTCGATGACCTCGGCTGTAGAAAAACACAACTCCTTAGGTCGGTCTGCACGTACACCTGACACTGCCGTCTGGTTTCCTAGAGGTACGATCGAAAAGAAAGAATTTCTTTTCGACTTCTTCCCACCTGCTCCTCCGCCCGGCAAAATGCCATTGGCGATGATGGGGTGAGCCGCCTGCTCATGTGTACGGAGATAAAGCCGTGGTGGGATGTCACGATTCGCGCGTGCGGTCAGGTTCAATCGATAACGATGAGCATGGTCAGGACGGCAAAAGATCAATTTTGCTAGAACTTCGTTGGACCGGGTTTCCAAAACATCATCTGTATGTCCTTGTCCGCAACGAACTTTGACAGGGGCTTCATGCAACTGGAGCGATTCGTTCACGGCGGAGTCGGAAACACATTGGAATTCAAATCGGTCCTTGTCATCATACATGGCCATGGAAATTAAATGATACACATTGAAACTCTCTGCAAACTTCGGAAACGTTTTGCAGCAATGTC